CTGGTCCAGCCAGCCTGGTGTGGCCAACCTGGTCCAACCAACGTGGTCCGGCCAACCTGGTCCAACCAACGTGGTCCGGCCAACCTGGTCCAGACAACCTGGTCCAGACAACCTGGTTCAGACAACCTCGTCCAATCAACTGGGTTGGGCCAGAGCCCCGAAGCTGTTGCAAAGCGTGCCCCGTCTCCCTCTCTTCTCTCCTGTCCGTCTCTATCTCTGTGTCTCTCTCTGCTGCATTCTGCTCCTCAGTCGAGCAGGACCTGCCCCCCAGCCCCAGCCTCCCAGCTCCTTCCAGGCCCCTAACCTTCCGCAGGTGGAGGCCACAGGGTGTCACAGCGGAGGGGACCTCCTGCTGCCCTGGGTGAAGTGACCGGAAGGTGAGTCCTGACGGGGCCACCTGGGTCCCCACGGAGATGACAGCTTCCCAACAGACAAGAGTCAGCTTTATAAAATTGACGTGGAGTTGATTCACAAGATCACGGGTGTGTGAGGTGTGCAGCTCAGTGACTCAGTTCCACACACACGTGTTTTTTCTCAGATCAGCTTGCCTTACAGGTTATCACGAGAGCCAGGAACCCGTTCTGACTTCCGTGGCGTCTAAGACCCTCTTGTTTGCATTTACAGTTCACGCTGCCCCCCACCCCGGGCAAGCGAACCCTTAAACGAGCTCCTGGAACGAGCCCGTTCATACTCAGCCCAGCTCCACGCCGAGGACTCACGGGTCCGTGCCCAGAACGCCCCGCTGCCATCTCGTCCCTGCAGGGAGGCACCCAAAACGCCCGCTGTGGTCCACCCCGCTGGGGTTTCCCGAGGACATACCCAGCCGTCTCCTCAGGGGCTGCTTCTCTGGGGCCCCCCCAGGGGGCTCTATCCGGGGGTTCCGGTTCCCCCACACGCTGAAAATCCCCGTCTGGCTAACAGTCCTGGGGCTGGGCGGGTCTGACTGGGACACGTGGACGGCTGTCTCAGAGGGGCGTGGCTGTGGCGTGCGGGACAAAGGACACGGGGCTGTGCCCGAGACTCAGCTTCCGCCCGGGAGATGGGATGCGGTGGAATTGTCCCTGATGGTGTTTCTGTAGGAGACTCACTCCCAGGCACAAACGTTCACATGCACATGTGCAAATACACCCCCCCCACACACAGACACATACACACACACACACACACCACCCCAGGGCAGCCCTGACCAGACAGAGCTTTATGCTGACACAGAAAAGGGACAGGTTAAAAAAAAAAAAAAAGAGCCGTCTCTGGGCTCCAGTGCGTCTTGTGCAGAACGAACCACATCCACCCACCCTCCCGTATCACGTCCTTAAGCACACGACCGATGCTGGGTCACTTGCGGAATGTTTCCAAGCCTTTGGCGGATCAGGAACACGGAGGAAACGAGGTTTCACGGGGAGTGTTTTAATTCCCAAATGTTTTGACAGCTCATGAAATACATGGTTTTGTTCACTTATTCTCCCTCACAGCTGATGTCACCGTCCGAACCAGCACCCAGCGGGGCGATGACACATGACGCCTGCGTGAAGGTCGGATGTTGTGAGAAATGCTGAGATGCACACGTGCGTGTATGAGCATGCACACACACACATGCATGCACACAATGCACATATGCACACCCATGCACACAAGCTCTCACACAATGCAGACAGCCGACTAACTCTAGGGCATTCACCTGTGTCCTCTGGAGGAAGGGGAGGTGCCAAAGCATTGGTGGGGGAAGGTCCCGGGACCTGGGTCAAATTTCTGCATCACCTCTTGTGAACCAGAGGCCTTGCCCAAGCCCTGCTCCCTCCATGAGCCTCTGCGTCCCCACCTGCAAGAC